CCTGTAGCGACCCCTCCTCCAACCAGTTTCCTTGAAAAAAAAAAGAAACTTCAGTTACAGGTCGAGCTTCTCCTGCCCCCCGCCCCCCCCCCCCACCGTTTTCTATAACATTTTTCAAGTTGTTAAATGGTAATGTTAAACATGAATCGTTTATCTTTTTTTGTGGGTCATTTCTTTTAATATGTTTTACGTTTCATATTATTTCAATTATATTATTTCATTACCGCTTAATTCCTGAAAATATTATTATGCACTCAAGCAAGGCTTAGGTTTCGTGTGGCCCCACACCACAGACATTTTATAAGGTTCCTTCTTTATTTTGGTGTCGTGCTTTCTGAGCTCCAGCCACAAATTCTTGCTGGTGACAATATCAATGTTGACACTACGGGAGTTTGTACGTCGGTTCTGTGTGCTGGCAAGCGAGTGCCCTATTATGTCGCCGTAATACATTCGTAAGAATGTTCTTTTAGACTGTAAATTGGTGTCATGTCATGTCGGTGACATGTCACGTTATTTAATCCGAAGACTGGCAAGTCATACCACAACACAAAGCTGATATTGTCACAAGTAAGGATCTATAGAGAGGGCTGAGGAGGTTGCACTGGAAGAGAAAAGGAGGCAGACCAGATAGAACCGTGTTGTAAATCCAACCTTAGTTGTCGCTTCCATCTGTTGCCCACACTGTTGAGGAACTTTCCTCACTAGAACTGTCGCAAATCCAACCTTAGTTGTCGCTTTCATCTGTTGCCCACACTGCTCAGAAACTTTCAGAGCTAGAACTGTGGCAAATCCAATCTAAGTTGTCACTTCCATCTGTTGCCCACACTGTTGAAGAACCTTCCTCACAAGAACTGTGGCAAATCCAACCTCAGTTGTCGCTTCCATCTGTCATTAAGTAATTAAGCATTATCAGTGTAAATACAAAGCTGTTTTCATCACTTGTGATAAGCGAGCGACTACGTAATTTAGTCCCAGGACTGGCATATGTTGCATTGTCACGTTATTTATTCATGATACTGGTGTATCCTACAAAACCATGCTAGTCAGTTTTTTTACACTGGTCCACTGCCTAATTAAATAAACCACGTCATTTAGTCCGAAAAATGATGTATGGTACCACGTCACGTGTTTCGTTTTGTAGGCTGGTATATCTTATTTTCCAGTCTTCTTCCTTTTCCTCTTCAATCCTTTTCTCTGAAAACTGTTATCAAGAGCCCGGTAACCTTCATGAAAGCTTTAGTGCAATCCATATCTGCGTGTGTACTATCATCTTTGTCTTCACTGAGGTCAGAAGAAACATATTTGCCACCCTGTGTGCAGTATGCATTTGACAGAGTTGGAAACAGGCTTAACATTTTCTAGTGCCAATTTGTTGGGATACATCTCCGTGTTTCTACGCCGACAAATATGAATATATTGGCTGGGTCAAGGTTCTGCCATGTTCTTAGTCTGAATGTAACACATGGCCACTCCCTAGAGAGGCGATGAAGCGAAGACTAATTAAATAGTTTTTAAATTTATTCCAAGGTTATTTATTGCATTCTGTTGCATAATTAATGTCACGTTTCGTTTTTCAATACACATACTTATACATAAAGTTACGCCACGGTATTTCACCCGAAGTGTTGACTTTGATAAAATAATGTTACGTTTTTTAGCTTGAGTAATCATTTATCATTTTCATATTCACACATTTATTTAGCCTCGAGTTTAGAAAAAAAATGTCACATCTTATTTAGCCAGAATATGTAAGATTGATGCTGTGTTGTTTCTGAAGTGTGGTTTACAAGTCATGTCACGCTTTATATTCTGAAGACTGATGCTCAGTTTAAACCTTCGGTAGCGAAAGTTGAACAACCACTGAAAGTATGGAAAGAAAGTTGAAGGTAATTTAAAAACCAGTAATGGGGAAAAAAATGAATATAAATCCAGATGAATTCAAGAGGGGTGAAGAAACATGACACGTATCTGACCACCAGCCATTGGTACCAACAATTATAAGACAGAGAAGATAGCGATGTATTGGACACACCCAGAGAAGAAACTAGCAAAGAATCATCAAACAGGCATAACATTGGAATAAAGTGAATAATTAGGCGAGGACTCCCAAGCTGAGAGATGTTCGACTAGATTTAATTTATGATATTGAATTGATTTTACAGGATATAAGGAAATGAACGAAAAGACTGAAAGCCTCATGTGGCAGGTAATGGCATGACAGGGCAGTGGTGATGTTGACGATGTTAGTTAAGAAGTTTATAAACATGTTAGTCATTTATTGTAGATTCTTTGAAAGTAATTAATGAGCTATTTCCCATCCCATGCACAAATTTGAACAATGAAAACAGCTAGAATATCGAACTGTCTCCGCAAAACTTAAACAATGAAAAGCTGCTAGAATATCGAACTGTCTCCGCAAACGTGAATAATGAAAAACTGCTAGAATATCGAACTGTCTCCGCAAACTTGAACAATGAAAAAAAAAAAAAAAACTGCTAGAATATTGAACTGTCTCCGCAAACTTGAACAATGAAAAAACTGCTAGAACATCAAACAGTCTCCGAAAACGAACAATGAAAAAAACTGCTAGAATATCGAACTGTTTCCGGAAACTTGAACAATGAAAAAACTGCTAGAATATCGAACTGTCTCCGGAAGCTTGAATATATATAAGAATAGGTCGTATTTTATAGGGGGCGGGGGGGGGGGGGGAGTGAAATTCAAATGAAGTGTTCCTCACTGTCTCATTTGGAAAAAAAAAAGTGAACAAACAGTCTCGGAACAATCCAGAAATATGCGCATGCTGTAAGAAAAGGTCGAGGGCCGGAGATAAGGCGGTAGACAACGATATAAGTGGGAAGGCAACATAAAAAAATAGACAAACAGCAGCCTGAGAGATTCTACAACCAAGACATTAAATAGAGGGTGTTGGAAATTTATTGCAGCCACCCTTAATTGTGAAGACGACACCTAACTGATTGATTCCATGCCTCTGGTGCGTTGAACATATGGTGCTAGACCCAAATATGTATAAACCATGGGGTCCTGGTTGAATGATGCAGTAAACATGTATGTTTTACCGTTTGATAAACTAAGTCTAGACAAGTAATATGGTAATTTCCTGTTTAGTTCAAGATGATTAATTTGTGACTAACGTCTGTGTCAGCGAATTGTATCTGTCCAGGCCAGTGAGTATCCTATTCATGTCGAATGTGTAACTGTCCTTAGTCGGGAGTTTACCACAGTTTTGTACGTTTTTCCTACTGGAATTATGTGAGTCCTCGTGACAGCTCCGGAATTTCATACTTTGCGCGGTAATCTCAGCAACAACAACAACAAGAAAACTGAACTATCCTAGATTACAAAAAACCAATGAAATGATGTCGCCTGTCTGATTTTTAACCATTTTGTCATCTACCGACTATGTCATACGCATCTTCGTCTGCTGTCATCCTTCTCTCATCCTCCTCCTCGTCATCGGTATCATCATCACCACATTCCGATAACAGCGTGTGGGTGGGTCTCTTCTGTTGAACTTTGTAACCAGACGCATTAACTTTTGATGGAGAGATGCTCTGGTGTCAACCCTTTAGTAATAGAAGCGTATTTCTTAGAAGATGCCAAAATGAATCATTTTAATCCACGATTATATTCATCAATGCATTACTTTCAAACTGGCAATATAATAGTACCGGTGGCCATTGGAGAAGCCAGATATCTTAAGTATGTTGTGACCAAATGTAAAAACAGTAAGAAAGCACCTTGAGCTATAGAGAGGATTCAATGGTTAGAGAGATTTATACAATATACGTTGGTTGTGAGATATACGTGCCCCTGTGTTTCTACCAACTGCCAGAGTCTGTCAGAATATCGTCTGTCTGGTGAACACACTGTCCATTTGTCACTCGAGTCGTGCAGGTAGGCGCTTAATTTGCTCCCGGAGCGGCGATATATAACACCTCAGTACCTGTTGCGAATCTTCATAACGTGTTGTCTGAATGTCAGACAAGTTCAGCAGAAGTCCGAGGTCTGGTAGTCAAGACCCAGGTCAGCCCGCCTTTGAGATTGTCTAAAGTAGAGGTTCTCAACCTATAGTCGCCATCCTTTCACATTGGTCGCCAAAGACCATCTCAAAACAAATATGCTTTGAAGTTATGAAGTAGCGACGAAAATATTTGTATGGCTGGGGGTGGCCACATCATGAGAAACTGTATAAAAGGGTCGCGGCATTATGAAGGTTGAGAACCTCTCGTCTAGAGTCTAGGGGTTAAAAAGGCGAAAGCAATAGTTGAAACTGGGAACACCAACTGAGATTCGGTAGACTCCTGCTGTGCATGCTCCGGTTGTGGAGTTTGTCTTATTGGTTAGGACTGAACTGTAAGTTTTTTTTTCTTAATTTTTGGTGTCTGTTGAGTAATTCTGTGAATCCAGGTTTTTATTTTTGGGAGTCTGTTGAGTAAGTTTTTGAATCCAGGTTTTTATTTTTGGTGTCTGTTAAGTAATTCTTTGAATCCAGGTTTTTATTTTTGGTGTCTGTTGAGTAGGTTTTTGAATCCAGGTTTTTATTGTTAAGTCGCCCTGCTTGTTCATCTGTCTCCATGCACCCAAATCTGCAAAATCTTTGGACAGCCCGGTAGAAGTCATTGCATGTCCATGCCGTTAAATTGAGCGTTTCCCAAATTTATGAATTATATATCTTCAAAGCAATGACCAAACAAAAAAACTGGCTCAGCAGAGCATGCATAGAAACTTTTGTTATTGCGTATATATGGAGCAGCCAATGTGGCCTTTCTGGAGGCTTCTCTGGTGTCAAACTAAGTAATGTTTCCGTTGGATCAAGTTATAGCCATCCTAAGAATACAACATATAACACTGTTATGAGAACTCCTTTAGTTCAAAGAACTGGGAGAAACGCTGGAAACAACCAGAATAATTCAGTTACCAGTTCAGGTGTATCAGACCACGCCGATTTAGGAAATCTGTCTGGTCTAGGCGAATTCATGTCAAGGAGAAGACGCAGCAGCGATGTCATCTCATCAGTTCCACTGTCAACTCTTGCCACCGGAGTTCAACACCTGCCATCATCAGCCTCTGATCAGGTGCAAGAAAGATACTTCAGGCTGGTGAGCCGACTGGTGATTCCCCCTACTGGCGGGAGGGCCTCTGGCAAGAATGTCAGTGTCACTGTAGGGGTGCTGCTGCCTTTCTCCGGGAATCGGTCGTTTGATGTTCGGAAGGTGGCACCAGCAATTGAGACAGCTGTTGAGAAGGTCACACTAGACATGGGACCATGGAACTTTCACAGGTGAGTTGGTAATTGAATAAATAAATAAATACATGTAATCATACATGCAAATACGCACATACATACGTACGTACATAAACACACACTTTACATACATGCTTACATACATACATACATACATACATACCTACCTACCTACCTACCTACCTACCTACCTACCTACCTACCTACCTACCTACCTACCTACCTACCTACCTACCTACCTACCTACCTACCTACCTACCTGCCTGCTGCCTACCTGCCTACCTACCTACCTGCATACCTACCTGCCTGCCTACCTGCCTACCTGCCTGCCTACCTGCCTGCCTACCTGCCTACCTGCCTACCTACCTACCTGCCTACTTATCTACCTACCTACCTGCCCACCTACCTACCTACCTACCTGCCTGCCTGCCTGTCTGCCTACCTGCCTACCTGCCTACCTACCTACCTGCCTACCTACCTACATATCCATTTCTTCCTTGGTCTTCCTCTCGTCTTTCTACAGATGTTCTGCTGTAAAAGGTCTTTTTGAAAGTTTAGTCTGGCTGCATTCCTAATAGATGCCAAAACACTTCCATGCCTATCGTTTGATGCAATCTATACACGGTCTTGATCCAGTTATCTTTTTAAAGCTAATATTCGCCTCATTATCCATTCTTGTGTTGTTGGTGACTGTTTAGAGACAGCATGTGTCAAAAGCAGTTATGAGTTTATGTTTTTTGGTTCATTCTGCTACTCACTGTCTATGTTTGGCACTGATATAAATACGTTATCATATGATAATTTTTTCTCTTTCGCTGGAAAGAGAGACATGCGGGTGTTTGAGAAGTAGGGCTTGTTGATATGTAACAGCTGTTCCATTCTGAACTCTGACGTATATATCTCGTTGTTGAGTGTCTCGCCTTCTGTAAATATGCTTCCTGTCTGTTGAAGTTAATGTTCTTGTTTTATTACACTAGTCAACAACCAAAATGTAAAAGAAATGAAAATAGCTGATCTGAACTAATTTTGATGTGCTGAAAATGCCATAAAAAAATTGACTGGCAATAGTTTTCAAAATATATCCTACTACTATAACTAATACAATTGTAACTAGAATTTAAAGATGCAATCCTTTGTGTAAAAATTTCTGAACTCTTACACGTTTTGCCACTACTGCATTTATTCTTATTAAAAGTATCCTTATTAGACATGCATATGATTTGTGTGAGCAGCACAAACAATTTATTTTACACAGGTGGTGAGGTGACATTTAGGACCCAAAAAAACGATGAACATATCTCAGTTAGTCATAGATAATGCCATCTGGTAATCTTAGTTTCAGCTTTATAGCAAACGGTCACCCTGTCGTTGCTCCGCTCCTGTGCCAACGAAAAACACACAGAATGTTTATCACAGTCCCTTGAGGAAAGATTGACAGACTGTTGTCTCATCATTAGCACTACCATACACACGTATAAAAAAAAGCATACGGTAGTTATCCGAAGTGCTAACAGAAACAGTCCGACAATAGAAATGCAGTTCATCATGGATAGTAGCAGAAGTCACCGACAGATCTATTTAAATAACATAATGGCACCACCAATATTGCGACAATAGGCATCGTGCCATTTTCTGAATCTACAATTCACACCACTACGTTGGTCACAGTAAAAAAAAACATTATAAATGAAATCAGCAGCTCACAGTATCACGCCATGCACTCAACTCAGAAGCGACGAAACCTTCCTTTCAGTCTACAAATGGAGCAAAAATGCACCGGTCACTGTCTTGCAAAAGCAAGCCTAGCATCCATTTTGACCGGAAGTGGCGAGGGTTTATTAACGGTCACCCTAGTGGTGCCCTCGTGCTGGGGGAGGCGCCAGTGGCATAAGGCCCATCAGCAAGGTGTCGCCCTCTGTTCATCATGACCGCCTGCGTTAGCGATTGTGCACCCCAGAACCATGCACTTCTTTGGCACGAAAAAGACACTCTAAACTTGGGTTCTGGACTACCGACTCTCTACATGCTCACACGCGTGTGTTAATTGTGTGCAAAGGTTATCATGTTTCTCTCATATACCATTAGCCTTATGTTCTAGCATACATTTATAAATAAAATACTATTGTCATGCGTATATGCATACACACACTTAAACATACTAGTAATAGCTGTGACAACAATTAATAATAATTAACACTTCGCAAGCACTCACACATCAAAGTAGAGAGGGCAAGAGAGGTACATGTACACATAAGAAAAAAATGAGAGCGATAAAAAAGAGGAGGAGAGAGAGAGAGAGAGAGAGAGAGAGAGAGAGAGAGAGAGAGAGAGCGAGAGAGAGAGAGAGAGATCACTAAATGACTAATTCCTCCGGGAGGATAATGTTTATCAATGCTTCTGTACAGTAATCCACAAGTATTTGGTGTAGGGCATCAAAGGGTAATAGCATGACTACGATGTCGCTGCAAAAGAACCTTCGGGACCACTAAAAACAAAGCCAAACACACACACACACATACACGAGGAAAAGAATTGGGAACAGCTAATAAAATGGAAAGTTCAAATCGTAAGCTGCGCTTTAAAAGTTTAAACTTGTTGCCCGAGAAGAGGCGGAAGAGGATGAAGATATTCGTAAAGAGGACGATCAAGACGCCAAAGTAGCACTTGCGATAAAGCAGCTAAATAATATCACAAATATATTTAAAAAATATATAGGCATTTACGTTAAAAAAAAAAAAAAACACACAGAAGAAGTGTAAGAAGATATTACTCGTCAAATCACAGAAGATTTCACACATTTGTCGCCTCAAAAACGTTTAGCAAAAGCAACAAAAAACAGTTCAAATAACAAAAATGTTAAAAGAGTTAAAACAAAAAGGCACAGAAAACAACAACAACAACAACAACACTCTTATCACACAACATATTTGTAAATAAGGATAAATGCAGTTTTCTAGGCACGTTAATTCTAGCTTGTCTTTTTCGTTATTATAGCTGTAAACATGATTTTTGAATATATTTCTTACTGTTTCCCAATTTTTATTTTTATTATGTTTTATGTTATCTTTTAATTATTCATCTGACTCAGACTGCTAGCTAGGTACTGCACGTGCGCGTGTTCGTACCTACATGTTTATTCTATAAATCATCATCATCAATTTGAAGTGGCCAAGTTCACGGCTACATACGGAGCTAGCCTCTCATAGATATCATCATCAGGTGCCTTGTCGAGTGGCGTTGGCGATAATGCCTCTCCACAATCCACGATCTCCTGCAGCAGTTCGTGTGCCGACACACCTGCATGCCATGCAACAAGACTGTCAAGAATCTTCTCCCGTTGTCTTCTTCTATCAATCCTTCCACAGATCTTTCCAGTCACAACATGTTTTCCCTCTTCTCATAACATGGCCGAAAAATGATGACTGTCTCCTTCTGATGTCTGTGACAAGTTGTCTTCGGGCTCCCGCCCTTTTCAAAACCTCTTTGTTGCTCTTTTTTGCTGTCCAAGGTATTTTGAACAGTTTTCTGTAAAACCACATCTTTGAGGCCTCCAGAAATTGTTTGGCCTGCCTATAGATTGTCCAGGATTCACATCCATATGTTAAAACTGGATGTATATAGCAAGCAAGAATTCTTTTTCTAACCTTCAATGACAAAGATATATTGCATAGGATATTCTTCATTTTATAAAATGCGGTTTTTGCTTGTCCTATTTTGTTTCGTATCTCAGTAATGCATCTTCCATCTAATGTTATCCATATGTCCAGATACCTAAATGTATGTTCTTGTCCCCCCCCCCCCCCACCCCCCCCCCCCCCCCCCCCAAAAAAAAAAAAAAAAAAAAAAACATTCACTTTAATTACACACTTAGGAATAATTCGTTTCTTTGATACGACCATTACTTCTGTCTTACCATTACTCCGATTGAGGTCCATTCTTCCACTTTCTAACACCACATTGTCTATCATTTCCTGTAGTTCTTTCTGACTTTGTGCCCATGTATAGCATCAGTTATAATTTTTGACCTTGTTCATGCTGTTATTTCATTGTGTTTCCTAGTGTTTGTAGCTCTAGCACCCCATGTCTGTCAAGCCAGGTTTTCTGCATGTTGTTTGTCATCTTGGTGCTGACTGGTTAGTCTGGTGCTCGTCTTGTTGCTGGGTTATAAGGTCTCTGCCATTGGTTGCTGTCCTCTCTTCCATTTTCAAGATGTATCTGCTAATGTGGTAGCTCTTCTAAAGTCAGGCACCCATAAATCATGTAACATTTCCTGTTTGTTTCACTTTACGTTACTATATTTTGTTTCACGATTTTTTATTTCTATTCCAATTTAGTGCATTTTGATTATTTCCAGTAACATCGACACATATTGTTTTGCCATCTACATTATCCCTGTGCCACAGCCTGTCATTTTCTCAGTTGACTGCCATTGTTTCGTCAAGCACAATGTGGGATAAACTCGGGTGGTGACAGAGGTGGTAGGGCAGTTGCTATCACGCTGCCTCTCGTCTTACTTGCCATGTATTTGAATCTTTTTAGAAGCCTGCTTTCAAACTTATCTTGGCTCCCAGACAAAAGATAAAGAAGTCAACGGCACTCACACACAAAGAGAGATAGTATTAAAGCCCTATGAAAATTGTAAAAGGGAAAGAAAAGGGAGCCAGTAAAGAACATAAGAAGAAGTCAGTTTACAAAAAAAAGTGACCACTGGATGCGAGAAGAGTCAATCAAATAAATAACTAGATAGTAGAAATGCGGAAAGAAGCTAGTAACATAAACACTTTAACTATTCACACACACACACACACACACACACACACACACACACACACACATACACACACACGCATACAGGGCTTTTTGTCCATAAAAAAAAAGTGCCGGTACTGCCCACAAAGTATCTTTTACATTAGTGCTAGAAAAAGTTAGGCCTAAAAAAGGACACTTATATGTACTGCCAGAAAAGAAAATCAACATATATAATATCAAATCACAACATATATAATATCTTGTTACGCTACATATAATATCCTCTGCAATCATATATAAACTGCTCCTGTAACAACATGCATTACATGTTCTTGTATCAACGTATTCTATATAATGCACGCAATTGCACATCTCCAGTGTGACGGTCCTCTATGGAGATTCCCAGTGCGACATTGCTGACTCCATGAACCAGGCAATACAACTTCACGAAAGACAGAGAACCTCTGCGTTCTTCGGTCCTGTCTGTGACTACGCTATTGCTCCAGTGGCAAGACAGGTACGTGGTCATGTTAACTCTCTTTCTTCCTCTCGTAATAGAGCTAGACATGTGACGTAGTAGAGCTAGACATGTGACGTAGTAGAGCTAGACATGGGACACCAGATGGATCATCAGTCTCTGTTTCGACAAAAAATGCAAAGGAGGAAATCCTTCCAAAAAAAAAAAAAAAACCTGTTCAGTCGTAAAGCAGTTATATTCTTCTTCTTCTTTTGTCGTCACACTATTACCAGGTTGTTGTAGCCCAGCGTCCGGTTTTTCTGTATTTGTCTTGCGCTTTTCGGGTGGCTTGGGTGATGGATTTTTTATTCAATATTTCTTGTGTGAAAAAAAAAAAATATATATATATATATATACACCACTGTCGGCTTGCTAAGCCCGTCGCATGGAGGAGCAGCAAAAAACCTGACCAGGTTGGTTTATTATAAAGTTATATAGTTATGGTTATTTAGTCATATTTAAGGACCTTTAACTCTTTCTGTCCCAATTCAGATTAACTTCGATCAGTTCTATTTCAAAGAGTTAAGCTTAAAAGCAATCAATATTTCGGCCTGAAGAAGTTCGTCAGCGACACTGTCAGAAGAGGTTTAACAAATATAATTAATAGAAGAAACGGCTTTTGGTAATTAGACACGACTATTAGAAACACAAGATGCCAATATCTACTGGCAGAGGCAAAGGAAACCAGTCATGTAGAAGTTCGCCGGCTGGCATGAAGGCCTAGGGTTCAAACCAGCATCTAGTAGGATTTTGATTTCGTCAGAACTGACCTTGACTCCCAGGTCAACCCACCCTGACATCCTCATCATCGTCGTGACCCTGATACTTCGTGGCTAGGTCACCAGTTGTTGTCGACCGTCTGACTAGCTTCTTCCACCTTCGACAGTCAGATGCGAAGGACTTGATAGTTGCACACCTAAGTCCTATCCACACAAAGTTCTGTATCCAGTTCTTTTTTGATCTGCCTCTTCTCTTCTTCCCCTCTACTGAGCCCTGCATTAATGTTTTTAACTGGCCGTTGGGTCCCGTTACTTGTCAGTCCCATTGGATTTTCCGCCTATTCGTTGTAGTTATGTCGGCTCTGTGGCTAAGTCGATGCGAACGCTTCGTAATTCTGGGATGCCAGGTTCGATACCAGCTGTGGGCCATGCGCTTTGCGTTAGTTTCGACAGTGGTATTAAAAAAGCCGACCATCCAGAAAGCAATGGCAAACTACTGGACGTAAATTTGCCTAGAAAAACCACACAACAGCCGGGAGCTGCTGCGGTTGGTTCTGCAATGTCCTGTAAAGGATACGCAACTAACTATTGTATTTATAAAAGGTTCATGGCTGCCAAAGTGCTGAATTCTTATACGGCGAACCTCATCATCTGTGATGTAGTTTCTGTATGATATGCCAATGTCATTTCTGTAATCCTTTTTTTTTTTAGTTGAACTATTAAGGTTTACTTTTTACAGACATGGTGGGAGTATGTGGGTGTGTTAGTATGCGTGCATGTGTGCGCATGCATTTCATCGCCCATTTTTTTCATGATAATCATAATATGCATATTATTATATAAACATAACATGCTTTATTGATAAAAATACAACTGCAGTGTCAAAGATGGGTGCTTGGAAAGACCGAATGTAAGACGGGCCTGCGTGCCTAATTTGTGACATGAAGTTAGTTTGTTTATTTGATCTCAAAATGTAAACACAAACGTAAGCCTAACTTGCATGCAAGGCCATATTCTGCAAATAAAATGTTGTCGATATGATGATGACCACATCACTCATCAAGTGCTGATATGATGGTGACCACATCACTCATCAAGTGCTGATATGATGGTGACGACATCACTCGTCAAGTGCTGATGTGATGGTGACCACATCACTCATCAAGTGCTGATGTGATGGTGACCACATCACTCATCAAGTGCTGATATGATGGTGACGACATCACTCATTAAATGCTGATATGATGGTGACCACATCACTCATCAAGTGCTGATATGATGGTGACCACATCACTCATCAAGTGCTGATGTGATGGTGACCACATCACTCATCAAGTGCTGATGTGATGGTGACCACATCACTCATCAAGTGCTGATGTGATGGTGACCACATCACTCATCAAGTGCTGATATGATGGTGACGACATCACTCATTAAATGCTGATATGATGGTGACCACATCACTCATCAAGTGCTGATATGATGGTGACCACATGACTCAACAAGTGCTGATATGATGGTGACCACATCACTCATCAAGTGCTGATATGATGGTGACGACATCACTCGTCAAGTGCTGATGTGATGGTGACCACATCACTAATCAAGTGCTGATATGATGGTGACCACATCACTCATCAAGTGCTGATGTGATGGTGACCACATCACTCATCAAGTGCTGATGTGATGGTGACCACATCACTCATCAAGTGCTGATATGATGGTGACGACATCACTCATTAAATGCTGATATGATGGTGACCACATCACTCATCAAGTGCTGATATGATGGTGACCACATGACTCAACAAGTGCTGATATGATGGTGACCACATGACTCATCAAGTGCTGATATGATGGTGACCACATCACTCTTCAAGTGCTGATATGATGGTGACCACATCACTCTTCAAGTGCTGATATGATGGTGACCACATCACTCTTCAAGTGCTGATATGATGGTGACCACATGACTCATCAAGTGCTGATATGATGGTGACCATATCACTCTTCAAGTGCTGATATGATGGTGACCACATCTCTCTTCAAGTGCTGATATGATGGTGACCACATGACTCAACAAGTGCTGATATGATGGTGACCACATGACTCATCAAGTGCTGATATGATGGTGACCACATGACTCATAAAGTGCTGATATGATGGTGACCACATCACTCATCAAGTGCTGATATGATGGTGACCACATCACTTGTCAAGTGCTGATATGATGGTGACCACATCACTCGTCAAGTGCTGATATGATGGTGACCACATGACTCAACAAGTGCTGATATGCTGGTGACCACATGACTCATCAAGTGCTGATATGATGGTGACCACATGACTCATAAAGTGCTGATATGATGGTGACCACATCACTCATCAAGTGCTGATATGATGGTGACCACATCACTCGTCAAGTGCTGATATGATGGTGACCACATCACTCATCAAGTGCTGATATGTTGGTGACCACATGACTCATCAAGTTCTTATATGATAGTGACCACATGACTCATCAAGTGCTGATGTAATGGTGACCACATTACTCATCAAGGGCTGATATGATGGTGACCACATGACTCATCAAGTGCTGATGTGATGGTGACCACATCACTTATTAAGTGCTAATACGTCTGTAAAAAATATAGGTACACACATATTTATATGCCCAAAACACCTGAAAGCTTGAAAAAGAACTGTTTAGTTTTACTTACTACATGTGCGATGGTCAAAAGATATAAAGGAACCTATAGTTTTACTTACAACACAAGCTTATAACAACACAGGCTCCATACAACACTACAACGCTATTTTTCCTCATTCACCCAGCCGCTTACACCTATTGCTCACTTACAGGCTCGATACTGGAACACACCCCTGATCACCGCTGGAGCTACGGCCTTCGACTACTACTGGCTAAAGAATACCACTTACTCAACGCTCACTAGAATTGGACCTGCAAATTTACAGGGCTGCTCGGGTGAGTAGTCAAATTGTTTCTGACCCTTTACACGTCCTTAATGCATTGGAGGTGAAGAAAAGACTTTGGGGTGAATAGGACACGTTGAGAAAACACGAGAACAGTATAGCTCAAATGCCTTTGCATTGGAACCCACAGGGGCATAGAAATAAAGGAAGACCAAAGAACATTTAGAGATGGGAGCTAAAGAGTTAAGTTAAAACAGTTTGGGGGGGGGGATGGGGAAAGCTGCATTCAGTAGCAAGGGATAAAGCGACTTGGCGTGAGTTGGTTGACGGCCTATGGTACATTGTGGGGGCAACAGAATTATGCATAGGTCAAATAGTTACAGGTCTATATTTTTTTTTATAGATCTATTGACAGGGATGACTGATGTGGTTAAACCACTTCACTTTTAAGTTTCCTGTTGTAAGTATAAAACCGACAGGATGAGGCTTTCCTAAAGAGGTTCATTTCACAGATCATGATGATGGATATAACAGAGATAAGGTTAGAGAAGATCTGGCAGCCATCTTAAAAGAACAAACGTCATGAAGACATCATACAGGTGGAAGATGTAAATCGTGTTCTGAAAAGGGCGAAAGACACTGCGCCCGGGCCCGACGGGGTTAAATATTCCCACATGAAAGACATGCCTGATGCCGACCTGTTGGAGATGACTGCTTGCTTCAACATGAACATTAGGACAGCTTCAGTCCCAGAAGAGTGGATACACAGCTACCCGATTCCATTTCCTAAGCCAGATTGTGACCGGCACCATCAGTATTGGAACTCTGCGCTGGCTGCTGAAGATGAGGGCTGAGCATAGTTTGCGGATATGTAAAAGCTGTGAAAACGGAATGGAGTCTTTGCAGGAAGAGGGATAAGAGAACATGTAGAGTTGCGAGGAGTCTGGTCGATACTTGACAATCAGAGGAAAAGCAATCAGAGTTGTACCATTAGTCTAGGAACTCTGCGCTAGCAGCTGAAGATGGGGACAGAGCACTGAGTGCTATAATGCCAGTTCTTGAACCCTAGTGCTGCGATGTAAGTCCTTGTATCAACTCAACTCAACTCACTGACGCAGAAAGGATCTATTATGGGATGATCCATTAGCTATAAAGTTTAACATGCGACTGGTGACTCACTAACTATACAGACTTCGAACAGCAGTCGAAATGTTAAGGTCTCCTTTTCTCTTCCCTAGTATATGATTTCTCCGTATTACTGTCTACAGAGTTTCTGGAAGATGTGGCCAGGCGGTACGACTGGCACAAGTTCATCATTGTGTATGATTCCCAGGGCCAGGACGATCACTTGGCGGGTTTCTGCCATCTCCTGGTGGACTACCTGCACTGCCACTTCAAGGACATAGTGCCAAAAATTAACATGGTAAGTGATGGACATCTTTTTTCTTGTCTCGTCTCTGTGTTTGTGTGTCTGTTAACTTTGTGTCTGTGTAAGTATTGTGTCTGTGAGTGTTGTGTAACTGTTGTGTCTGTGTGTGTGTTGTGTCTGTGTAAGTGTTGTGTCTGTGTGTGTGTTGTATCTGTGAAAGTGTTGAATCTGTGAGTTTTGTGTCTGTGCAAGTGTAGTGAATATTTAAGTGTTGTGTCTGTGTGTGTGTTGTGTCTGTGCAAGTGTTGTGTCTGTGTGTGTGTTGTATCTGTGTAAGTGTTGTTTCTGTGAGTTTTGTGTCTGTGCAAGTGTTGTGTCTGTGAGTGTTGTGTCTGAGTAAGTGTTGTGTCTGTGTGTGTGTTGTGTCTGTGTAAGTTGTGTTTCTATGAGTTTTGTGTCTGTGCAAGTGTTGTGAATATTTAAGTGTTGTGTCTGTGAGTGTTGTGTCTGTGAGTGTTGTGTCTGTGAGTGTTGTGTCTGTAAGTGTTGTGTCTGTGCAATTGTTGTGCTTGTGAGTGTTGTGTCTGTGTAAATGTTGTCTCTGTGTGTGTGTTGTGTCTGTACAAATGTTGTTTCTGTGAGTATTGTGTCTGTGCAAGTGTTGAGAATATTTTAGTGTTGTGTCTGTGAGTGTTGTGTAACTGTTGTGTCTGTGTGTATGTTGTGTCTGTGTAAGTGTTGTGTCTGTGTAACTGTTGTGTCTGTGTGTATGTTGTGTCAGTGTAAGTGTTGTTTCTGTGAGTTTTGTGTCTGTGAGTGTTGTGTCTGTGTAACTGTTGTGTCTGTGTGTATGTTGTGTCTGTGTAAGTGTTGTTTCTGTGAGTTTTGTGTCTGTGAGTGTTGTGTCTGTGTAACTGTTGTGTGTCTATGTGTTTTTGTGTATGTGAGTATGCTAGAGCTTACTTCTGTCTCTCTCTATGTCTCCGTTGTATGTGTATTTTTGCGTGTATATTTAAAGGTTTGCATTTGCCATCCATTCCTGTATTTTTTCACTTTACATCCCTAGCAGGAATGTTGACAGGGAACTCACAATACGTTTATTGATTGGGCCGAATGTAGGACGGGCCTGTGTGCCAAATGTGTGACCCCTTGAAGATCAAGTTTGTTCGTTCGTTGCATCGTTCGTTCTTTAAATGGTGCATATTTCTTTTACTTGTCTCTCACATTCTTCTGCAGCATTCACCTATTCTATCTCAACTGTACTGTAACCCTTTCTGTCCCGAAGCACGTTTGCTCGCTGGCGGGGTGAAACAATTTGTTTCCTTCACCGTTTTAAGATCAATCGATCTGGTCTCAAAAAATGGATACATCAAAGATGACATTCTGCCAACGCAACCTATCATTTCCTGAGACCCGCTTCCTGTCACGTCAAGTGGATGACAAAACAAATGGGGACGTGGTGTGAGGTGCGGGGGAGGGGTGGGGGCAGACAAAACAGTTTTTAACGTTTTTGTTCAATCTAAACTTCAGATAAAGCCTGTTTAGTTTTTAGGCACTATTTATACAAGCCCTTTGTGCTTTGGTGTTTGTGAACCCATTATAAGTATTCCGACATATCAGCTGCTGCAGACGATTTTGATAGAAACATTGGCATGCTATAAAGTTTGGGTAACTATTGAACATAAAATTGTCTGGTAAGTGCTCAGTTAGTTAGAACATACGGCTGTTGGTTTTGAAGGACGTGCAGCTAATCCTTTTTTTTATTATTATCATCATCATAATCATCATCATCACCATCATCACCATTAACATAATCATCATAATCAGGTGCCCTGTCGACTTGTGTAGACGTTAATGTATCTTCAAGGACTCGGTCCCTTGTCCTATGGATCACTTCCACCAGTGATATCCCTCCGTGCCACGAACGCAATCCATTCGTCATCGTCTCTCTCGGTCTGCCTCTCCCCTTCTACCGTTAATCTTCCCAGTCCTTACAATATTCTCCATAACCACCCCCTCATCACATGATCAAAAAACTGATTGCTTTTTTCCTGAATATAAAAGAAGCATAAACATGACAGAACTTTACAGAACCAGTTCCAGCCGCATTTTTTGCCTGTTGTGGTTTTTCTAGGCACATTTTATATTCAGTAGTTTGTCATTGTACTGAACGGTCGGCTTTCGATACCACTGTCAAGCCCAACGCAAGACAAATCCTCTGCGGCAGGGATCGAACACGGCCTAGGCATTGCAAAGAGTTCGCAACGCCTACGCGATACAGTCCGACGTCTTTTCCTTATAGCTGTGTATATATATTGATCTGCTTTTATTTGATTCTTTCAAGACCTCCTCGAAAGTTCCTGTGGCAGTCCAAGAGATTCTGAACATTCTTTTGATGAATCACATCTCCGTCGCTTTTAAGTTCTTTCTAATTAGTGCATTCACTTTCCATGATTCGTTACCATACATTATAGAGAGAAGATACTGGGTAGTGTGCAATCATGGCATATCAGAACATCTGTACTGAAAACGATTGACAGTCCACAAGGCAGAAAGTTGTGAACAATCATGATTGTCAAACTTCACGAGACGGCATTTTAGACGAAGCTGATTTATTTAAATCAACTTAGGCAAGAAACTATTTGATGATGATGATGATGATGATGATGATGATGATGATGATGGCAAGGATGATGATAATGATAGCGATGACGATAAGGGTAATAGAGGCATTGCTTTGACATTGGTGACTGTGAATGCGGCAACGATGACGATGATGTTTATAATGATAGGGGTGGTGACCATGATGGTGATGATGACGATCATGATGATACTGATGATAAGGCTCTTGATGGTGATGATGATATTGATGATAATAATCTTGATTATGATGATATTTCTGATAATGATCTGATGATAATGATGATAGTGATAATGATTGTGCTGATAGATTAGGATGGTGGTGGGAAGATAATGATGATGACAATGCAGTGTGTTGAACGGTAGCAGTGGTTGTAGTAACGATAATCGAAGAATCTATAAAAACAGTTCTATTGTAATGCTTTTTCTTCGCAGGACCACTATAAACTGGACGATGGCGTCTACACAACCACCGAAGCCGTTTTCAGAAACAAAGTCAAAACGGAATACTCAGGTAGGCAGACTGAACTCGCTCTCTGGAGTGTGTGTACAATACCAGCAACATCTAGTCTTGTCCAATTACGACCGGGAAAATGCTTCATTAGTGTTTTCAGTCAGCATCTAGACAGGAAAATGGTGAAAGCTTGTAATCTAGAAGTTATTAATTTCCTTCTGTTAGTAGTGTCCGTTACATATTTTGTGTTCCTTCTTTATCTTTCTTTCTTTCTTTCTTTCTTTCTTTCTTTCTTTCTTTCTTTCTTTCTTTCTTTCTTTCTTTCTTTCTTTCTTTCTTTCTTTCTTTCTTTCTTTCTTTCTTTCTTTCTTTCTTTCTTTCTTTCTTTCTTTCTTTCTTTCTTTCTTTCTTTCTTTCTTTCTTTCTTTCTTTCTTTCTTTTCTTTCTTTCTTTCTTTCTTTTCTTTTCTTTCTTTCTTTTTCTTTCTTTCTTTCTTTTCTTTCTGGCTTTTCTTTCTTTCTTTTGTTCTTTCTTTTGTTCTTTCTTTTGTTCTTTCTTTCTTTCTTTCTTTCTTTCTTTCTTTCTTTCTTTCTTTCT